CAGTGTCTGATTAAACTCAGTTCAAGATGCCTGTAGAGACCAGAGTTTAAATCTTGAGTGGTGTTGACTGCCTCTACTCTGTCATCACCTCCGAAGGTTCTTGGCGGTTTTTGGGATGCAGCCCCAACATGTCTTACATGCACTACAAAAGACCTTAAAAAATTCTTTCCAAACCGAGCACAGGTTTCCTGAGCAAGGGCCCAAAAGGGCAGGAGCCTCCTCCTTAAGCCTTTCTGGCATGATATCTGCAGTCTGCTCTGGGGCTCGGGTTGGTGACCTGCAAAGGTCCCTTCAACCCAACCCATTCCACAGTTCTATGGAGATTCTGGAACCGAACAAAAGAGAAACTCTGTGGTAAAATGAATCATTGTGTTAAAAATATACAGGAAATACTGCATTTCTTCAGTATCACTAAGAATTGTAAGTAAACAACTATATTTTGAAAATAAAAATGAAAGCTGGGTTCAAGAGTGTAATCCTACAGGAAATGTAGTATTTCTGGAACAAGACCCTGTTTCTGTCACAATTTCCAAGCTCCCCTTTTGAAATTAGAATGTTATCTCTCCTTCAGACTGGTTTTTCTAATGGTCTTCCTTGTAGATGCTGACAGACCAACTCACTCCAACTCAGTCATTTTAAGTGTAATACACTGTTAGTCTGTCAAGGCATCCTGCTGACAATGTAGTAAAACAATACAACCACCAGAAATCAAATGTGCTTTAACTTTTGGTAAGGCCTGAAGTGGTCCAGCAGTTGAACCGGATGACTGTTGTAAGTCCAACTGAAAATATTCTATTATATTCCCTTTCTATTTCACGCAAACAGCTTGCATGAAAAAATACTTTTCTTTTCCAGTTACTTCAAAAAAATGGAAGAGTAGATGGAATCAAACTCAACCATGATGGCTGTGCCACTGGGATGCAGATGTATGTAAGAGGAAACAATTCCAGACAATAAAAGCATACTGTTGGTGCAGGAACAATTTTCACACTTGCCAAAAGACCCACTGTGTTTCTTGCACCAAGCACAAAATATTAAAAAATATACATATAAACATGCTTCCTTAGACCTGAAGATATACAGAGAACCTCTTGCTTTACTCATCGCTGAACTCCAAATCACTGCTTTAACAGTACCATTATTCAGAGGTAAGAGTGTGAAAATGGATACACAGTGTCAAAACACACTGAGGTTTATGCACCATTCTGGGTTTTTGGTGGTGGGTTGTTTTCTTTTTTTTTTTTTTTAATTTGAGCATGATTCAATAAATAAAACTTCACACACAGTGAGAATTCTCATGGCGTAAGACAAATCTCCAGCTATGTAAACCTCAAGGAGCTCACTTACATTTCTTTTGTTAGGTCTACAACTTTCCATTTCTCTTCTCCCAGTTGTTATTGTTTTACCACTCTCTATGTTCTACATCTGGGTTTACAAGATGCTACTGACCACACAAACCAAATTTAATATCCTCTCTTTGGTTTCCTACTAAACCATAAGACCATCTATCCTATTTTTTGTCTAATTTTTTGTGTCTTCAATCCTTTTTCTTTTATGTAATTTTTGATCTCATAAGAACAAGCCCAACTCCTTCTGTGGTGATGCACTAATGTAACTGAAACTCGGATTTGCCTCTTAGAAACAAACTCGGTTTCCTCTGTTGACACCAATAATACTTTTTCCAAAGACTTCCTCATTCTCCCACTATTGTTTTATGTTTCAGCAGAATATTACTCTAATCCAATCATTTTTCAACCAATCTAATACAGCCTCAAAGTGGATTAGCCAGCAGGCACTGGTAGACTGCACATCCATCAGTTGACAGCTATAAAATCCTTGGATAATTAAATCCAGAGAGAGATCCAGAAAGGAAAGGGAAAATTCATTTGTCTCCTACTTCTCCATCTGTTGCTGTTCACTCCATACAATTGAGGATCAGCTCCTTAGCCTTTCTTCTCCCATCCACCCAAAGCTGGAAGTGGCTTCCACCCCTGGGGCAGAAGAAACAGTGTTTAGAGAAACTGCAGGTGACCAAAGGGCGAGGAGGAGGTGCCCGATCCCCCTGCCCCCTCCATTCCCCAGCCAGAGAGCTTCTCCAAAAGCTGCACCAACGCTACAGTACCTACAGAGGGCTTTGCATTACTATTTCTGTTCTTTGAGAAGGCTAATTATTAGTTGTAAGTGGTAAATTTGTATTTGCTATAAATGTTTTCTATAGCATTTTCGATATGATTCATTTCATTATGATATTCATCTAACTGAATGGGACTGGTTACGAAGTGTGCAGACCTTTTCCCTGCTGTACCAGCTCCCCCCTCACTGTCCTTTTCTCCTGACATTGTCAGAGCCACCACACTGCAAGTGCTGCTTAACCACCGCTCGTCAGTGAGTTGAAAAAGGAAAATGAAAAAAATGGAAGTTAGAGGTCCGTTTCTCCTTTTGGCTATCTGCCAGCAGAGTAGTTGGTGCGGATTAGTGATTGGGGTTTAGTTTTCCTGCTTTAGGGAGTGGCTGTGGAAGGATGCTTGAGGAAACTGCTTTGGTAGCGTGAAGCTGAAAGGTTTTGTTAGTTGCTTTGTGTGCATGAGACAAATGCTGTACCACATTTTTGTCAGTCTGAAATAAAATAGCCTTATTAATGGTGTGGACTCCCTCTTGCTGTCCAGAGGGCGCCTCAAACAATTACAGTGGAATGAGAATTCTGGGGAAAGAGGAAGAAGAAAGGGTCACGAGGCCCACAAAGGACTCAGGCTGCCCATTCCACAGGTCTCTCAACCTAATTTTCTTCTCCTTGGACAATGGATAAGTTTTAGGGAGACCTCATTGTGATCTTCAGCACCCTTACGAGGGGCAGTGAAGGGGCAGCACCGATCTCAGCTCTGTGTGAGCAGTGACAGGACCCGAGGGAACAGCTGGAGCTCTGTCGGGGGTGTTAGGCTGGATCTCAGGACAAGGTTCTTCCCCAGAGGGTGGTTGGCACTGCCCAGGCTCCCCAGGGCAGTGGGCACAGCCCCAAGGCTGCCAGAGCTCCAGGAGGGTTTGGATGATCCTCT